GGCGTGTGGCACCGCTTTCAGTTCAGTACACCCTATCCTAAGTGTGTGTCTCAACTCCTGTCTCCAAGGAGAACGACCACATCCCTCTTAATTAACTTTAGATAACTAACTGGCCTATGATGTACTCTGTACAGCAAGCACTGGGTCAAGGCGCGATATCACCAACCTTGACCAATGAATCTGGGTGATATCGCGGGATGTGGGACTTGGCCAGTCCCATGTACCTGCTTTGTTTGAACTGTTGCAAACGCTGTGACTTTCCTTTATGCATGCCGTTGATTCAAGAGTTCTAAGTATTCAGTAACTAGCTTGCCGGGTTCAATTGTTGCTCAAGCTGTTACCCTACTTTTCCTGTAAAATGCTAATGGGCTTTTTTGAAGCAATACTGTTGTCGCGGACTCAGCCACCTTTCCGTGCCCTCAGTCAAGGTTTAATTGCGTGTAAAGGTCTACTTGCAGTATCACTGGAGCGCACCAACGGATATAGCTCTTGCGAGCATGGATCTAAGTGTGTGTGTGTCGCATAAAAAAAAGAACGCGCCAAAGTCCTGTCATTCCTCTCCCGCCCAACACATCCCAAAACCAATTGCGGGAAATGACCGACCTGGTTGACGCTGTTTGTTTTCCACCACAACACCTCTGTAATCACCTCTATGCATAGACATAGACAATATCTAGTATCATCATGTATCATCTAGTATCTATAATGCATATGTATATATATACACACATTTATAAGCGATTTATATCATTTATATCTATCAGAGCCCACAGGCACTTTAGATCCTCTCATGTTTCCAGATCTTGAAGGTAGCTCGGAAGGATGTGAGGAGCACGTCGGATTCGGAGCCTCCTTCGGAGCCAGCAGGCGGATGAAGTCTGGGATCGAGCCGCGCCATCGAGCGGCTGTTCCCGGGTTTGGGGTGGAACAAGCATTTGGGTTCGGCAAGGATAGCTGATGGGACGGGGAGAATGAGGAGGACAAACAGCTGTATATAAGCCTCTGAACGGGATTGTCAGGGGGGTGTTCATGGACGTTTGGTTGAGAACCTCTCGAACTGTGGGTACATCATCAAATCCTTTAGGGGGCTTTGAAGATTTTGAAGTACGACAAATTGGCTCATGGGAATTCTGTTTTTTGCAGTTGGGGCGGCGAATTGCAGTGCCGGGGCGATGTACGAAGCCGGGCTGTGTAGGGCGTGGTACGGTAGGTTTATGGTAACAGAGGGTCCTGCAGAAAACGAAAAGAACACAGTAATTCTGTAGCAAACGTGATTTGTTTTTCAGCTGTATATAATTCTCCTAAAACTCGTAAGGAATGGATCGACTTGAGGAACAATTCCAGCAGTTTGGGGTGGGTGGGTTGGGCAGGAGCTTTGCTGTTGCTAATCCTGGTCTTCAAATACTGGCTGAAGGGTTTCCAGTGGGGATTCCTGAGCATCATTCCAAATTTCCAAGGACTGGGCTCAGATGGCAGCATGTGGATGAACAGCACAGAAATACTTAGACAGAACAGTGTAGAAATGAGCTTGAAACGAACAAAAGGAGGTTTCAAGAGGAAGAGCGCCATCCCTGATCCAAATCCACTTGCGATCTCCTCACACTTCACATCGCCCATCACCGTCCACCGCAAGTCTGGACGCTTATGGATGCTTCACCACATATTACCAAACATCACTTCGCGGCGATACATGTCTACATGTCCCCTACCCTACCCCCAAAAAACACGGAAGGTGATTCTATTCTCCTGTTTGTAGAGGAAAATTGTTTTTCCAGCAGGGCAGGGGCAGCCAGGACCTCCACTTCCATGATTTCAGGGAGGGTAAGGAGGAACCGTGCCATGCCACCGGAGGATCATCACCTAAACTCACCTCTCACCTTCGCCTGAACATCATGACCATCGGCTGCGCCCAGCACCAAAAAACATGTCCGATTTGGACAATGCATGTTCAAAAACCCCAATGAAGTCAAAAAATGTCCCTATAATACAGATTAGATAAGGCCAGGGTGTGGCTCTGGAGGAAGATGTCCGAGTGCTTGCGGCTTGGGGGGTCTTCAGACCTTCAGAAAAGCCACCGAAAAGTCCTCACATCCAGGAATTGACCTAGCCGTCTTGGCAGCGGTCAGAACACACTGCTGGCCGTGGAGCGCGTCGCGCATCTCGCTACGCCAAATTACCCCTTTGGGGGGTTGGCAGTGAAGGGCTTTCGACGATGCGCCTGCACGGTTCCTGATGCGACTGCACCGATGTGTGAAACCGGGCAGAGAAGACCTCGACCTTTCAAGTTGGCCAACTTGCATATATATAATATAATTTATATATATATATATTGATATATATAATATATATATAGATTGAATAAACAAACTTAGTTGTGACAGAAACACTGTTTTCATGAACATCGTGGAAGCAACCACCATGTGACTGGATCAATATTTTATTGCCCAGAGTGAAATAGCGACATGAGATTTGAAGATGAAATCCTTCTACTCAGTCTTTGACTTTGGGGAGGTTGTGTTTAGTGTTCCTCGAATATGTAAGAGTTTCGACCGTCAAAAAGTACAAGCTTGGCGTTTTATCAGCTACTAGAACGAACTAGTTCTTGTTGGAAGGTCATGAATGAGGGCAATTCATTCCATGCCCTGTATTCAGACCCTGCAGGCTAAGTGAACAAAAGAGCCTGCCAGCGCTGACATGAGACTGACCCCGGGTGAGGAACGAGAATGAACGAACCACAAAAGGTATAAAGAGAGTTTTTGACAAGAGTGTATTTTTCTGGAGGGACAATCTTAGATGGGGCAGCCTGAAGCTTCAGAAACAAGGCTCGATTGAGAATCGGAGGAGTTGGAGTTTGGCATTTGATTGGCGGTCAAGTTGGGGTAGTGAGTGCATCAAAGGGTGCGGTTTGGACAGATTGTCCGCGAGAGTTCGGAACAACACCACCAAGTTCCCCGCACCACGTGCCACGTGGCTCACAAAAGCTAATCGACCAAACCCCTAGTCGCCGGAACCCCAAGGCGATTTGGGCCATTTGGGTGCTTCCGGTTTTGGGTGCTAAAGGGGCAAGCGAAATCCTTGGTACCCCCCTGCAGATGAACATGGAACCCCCAAACCACAGGGGTTGTAAAGGAAAATGGTCTTTCATAGTCTTCCCCTGGTCAATTCTTAGGTTCCATGTTAGTTTGCAGGGGGGGCTTCGACCCCGGCCTCACCAGCTCCAGGCCGCCGAGTTTTGGGAGTTGGGCCTCGGAGAGCCCATCCCCTTGAGCCCCTTGGCTGCCGGCCGAGCGCGGAGCACCGCACCGCCGGGGGCCGTTGGCGCGGTGGGCGGAGGACTTGGAGCGGTAGGGTAGTGTAGTAAGGCCAGCTTCTTGTTACTAGTAAGAATGCTCCGTTCGTAGTAAGGCCAGGAGCCCCGTTCGTAGCTTCTTGTTACTAGACCCTGTGGGGAGGAGAAGTGGAGTGAGGACGGTCTTGAGATGTCTTGAGCCTTGAGCATACTCGATTTGACGGTCTTGCGTCGTGCACCTGAGAAGGATCAAGCGGGGGAAGATCAGATCTCACAAATGGCTACCCAAATGGGTGTGAGAAGTCCCCCCAACAAATTCTGAAGCTTGCTTAAGGACAAGGTTGAACTTCAGCCGATGCTTTATCCTTCATGCCCTTGAATAATTGCTGGGGGGTTCTACCCACCTTTGATACTATGGGGTTCGGCTCTACTTACAATCGTTGTCTCGTTCCTTGCGCCTTCTCTGCACGAAAACACTGAGCATGTTTTCGAAAGGCGCCTACCACCGCCGTGGCGTGTGGGAATGCGTGGATGCGCTGATTAACCGCGGCTGTGCCTGGGCCTGGGCTGTACCAAAGTTTTTTCGGGTAGCCCATGGGCGTTTGGAAGACACCAAATACCAGGGCTGCCGAACAAATGTCTATTGATAGCCCCTTATATATATATATATGGTCACCCCCCCCCCACCCCCCCCCCCACATGTTGATTCCATTGTAATTTACAGTGAACATAGACATTTCTTCATGTTCAAATTCTGCATTCCATTCACAGTGTGTTTGTATGTTAGTATCAATATATATATATATAATATTTTTTATACTATATATATATATACATTATGATATCTGGGGAGTGGCTTTATAAAAAAATGCACCAATTGATGGAAACAAATCAAAAAACAACAAAAAAGAAAAGCCAAAAAAACAGCAGCATCAGGATAGGAGGATCTCCAATGAGGTCATTATCTTTTTTTTCGACCATTGACTTATGAGATTGCTCGGCCATTGTTGAACTTCTGCCGAAAGGAAGAGGTTGGGAAGTAGATGATGTTGTATGGCCTTTGAGATGGAGGTGGGTCCTTTTTTCCTCCCCACTCGACTTCATCCACCTTTTCTGCATTTAATCCGAGCAGGATGGGTTTTGACCCTCCACAGATGGTGGTCCCGGGCCTCTCCACCAATGAAGGTCGGTGTTTTCGGGCGTGTTTTCGACATATTTCAGATTATTGAATCTATACATCTCGACGGCCGATGGTCATACCTGCCAAGATACACTGACAAAGTCTTCAAATTTTGCAGCCCTCCCATATGAAGGAGGAGTTCGTCAATCTTCCATATTCAGGTTTGTTTGTTGCTACTTCGGGTAGAGCGGCATCTCTCCAACGCCACTACTCAGGCATCCTGCTTTCTTCCTCATGTTGTTGATGACGGTTTCTTCTATTTGTTGTGCTTGTTTTTGACCCTGACATGGTATGATATGTCAAGGGTTTATTCTATTTGATTCCTTGTGCATTTCATCAATTTTAAATGATCTTCTATCTGACAAAACTAGTTTATTTCTTCAATAATAGGACACTGAACTATACATGTGATGTTCTCGTTACACCACACATGGTGGGTTTTTCCGGCATCCCTTCTCCTTGGCAGTCGACAAGCCACACTCGACTGGTTCGGCACCGAGGCAACGGCCTGTTTCCACTGAAGTCCAAAGACGGAGATCAGATCACAGAGCCAAGAAGCTTGGAAGATGTGTCAGTTGCTGTGGCGCCCTTCTGTGGTAATCTCAACTGAACGTCTACGAACTGCTCAGAGCGCTGACGGAAACCATGGATCACCATGTGACGACGACATCATGTGACGTGACGGACCCTCCCATTTCGGAGGAAGGGCAGGACCGTTCCTCAGGTGTTCTCCTGGTCCTTTCGAGGTCGAGCGGTCGTTCTCCGGATGAACGGTCTCCAGGTTTTCTGGTCTCCGGGTGAATCCCTGGCATGCCGGAGCTCCAGTGTGTTTCTTCCGGATCAACCTTCCACGGGTTGTTTTACTGTTTTTCCCCAGTTCCGACAAAGATTGGTCGACTTGGACAGCTCAGGGAAAAAGACGACATGACTCGTCTTTGATGTTATTTTTCGTATTTTTTCCAAAACGAGAGCCCACTAGGTCCCTATAGGTTTTTTCAATGAGAGCCTTGGCATTGGAGAGATGACTAGATCTTGGGATGTCAGGAATGTGGAATGTGAACTGTGATAACTCTTGATTGTGTAGTTCATCTCCAGTCATTCATGGAAACTGGTGGGCTCAGTGGTTCAGATTCTCCAGGTGGGCTTCATGCCCTGCTCACCTCAGTTGCTATTTGGGATGTACCAATAGGCTGCGGCCAACTGGGAAGAACCGAATGCCGAGCCGTACCGGGATCGCACCTGCAAGGTCGGTGTCTCCCACACTGTCTCCCATGCATGGTGCCCTTTCTTGGCGACTTTCCTTCACGAACACAGGGGGAATTTTCCACGTGAGTCGGAGTGCAACTGAAACCTCATAACACGGCCAAACACCAATTGATGATCGGAACGCTTCTCCCGATTCACAACAGGTGGACAACTGTGGCACTTATGCCGTTGATCAACTCTTCTGAAATCGCTAACTAACGGAAGAAGCTTTCGGTCCCTTCTCTCTCGCTTCAAATACTTCCATCCACCCCCCTTCTTGATCACGAATAAAGGTGAACACCGGAGGATCCGGGGCCAGCGCCCAGTTCTCGCTTTCTCCAAGGAGACAACACCATCAAGGCGCCCAGAAGCGGCCGAAGTTCTGGTTGAAAGTACCATGGGTGACTCTTCACACCGAGAACTTCGGAGAAACATGTGTTTGGCCCCGCGCATCGGAGCACTATCTCGGAGCATCCGAGCGGTGTCATTCGGGTCTTCCTTCGGTGCCCCCAAGAGATAGTCCATGAGGGCTGGGCTGGAAGATCGACCAAACGACATGGGGTGACCGGAGCGGGATTCCACCAGACGACATGACCTGGCTGGCTGGTCGTGCCATGTATGGTCCAGCATTTCTCGGCCGAAAGCATGTGTGGCTGATGGTCTTGTGTTGAAAAAGTAGATCCTGCAGGCCATGTGCATCTATGGTCCGCTTGATTCCACGAAGGTCTATAACTGTGTCTTCGGCCCATGAAAAGATGTCGACTGATTTTCTTTCAAAACCACCGACCGACCCAGAACCTCCCCGACCGACCCAGAACCTCCCGCCTGCAACCGACCCGTGGCAGTCGCACGCGTCGTTTTCAGGTGGCGATCTGTGGCAAGCCCAACAGCGGCAAGTCCTCGCTGTTCAATGCCTTGGTTGGGGAGGAGCCTTGTCATCCGGGGCCCGTTTCGCACCGCGGCGTGAGATGTTAACTGGCCACCCATGTCATTACGTCTGATTGTATTCCAGATGTGGATCCACGTGGCAAGAACAAACACGCAAACCAGATTGCATGTTAAAAAAATTGCAGAAGTCACGTTCACTGGTAGCAACCGGTGGCAACTCTTTGTCGCTGTTTGAAGCGATGAGTCACCCATAAAGGTTTCTTTCGCTCCACTATTTTCCTTGGTGGCAGTGACCTGGTTTTGTAGTCAAAAATCCTTGGCAAAGCCGTTGTTTGGAATTCAGACTCTCAAAACAATGGTTTTTGGACTCCCAATTTGAAGAGAGAGATCAACCGAAACATCAAACATGTTTCACGATCATCGATACGTGGAGGCAAAGGTTTTGTACTCAGCGTGGCAATGAACGCATGTCTCTTAGGTCATGATACGCATGACCTTTCGTTCGATGGGGTGATTTAAACAGGATCTTGAAGCCGGTTCTACCCAATTGGGTTTTGTGGGGAGTTGAATGGAGTGCCCTTTAAGAAGGTCCTCAAGTAGCAGCCTTTGACTTGCTATTGGTTGACCCTAATCTAATTTCCCCTCTCAATAATAGGTCCCTTATTGGTTAAGCAGGCTCGCCTCCTCTTGGTGACCCATGTTTGTCCACATGGTGTTGCCAGGATCGCAGCATTGTGAGCCACATCGAGGGTAGCACCACAGATGCAGTGGATGCTTATTTGGAGGCCTACAACGGGAGACGTGGTCTGCAATTTGAAGACCGGAGGAACTCCCTCCACCGAACCATGAAACATGCAAGTTGGCTGGTTTTGCCAATCCAGCTCAGGCCAATGTGCTAACTTCAACAGTGTGACCCTGCGCTTTTGGGTGGAAAGATGTACCTTGAGGGTCTACTATGTAAGAGTATGTAAGTCTAGTAGTCCATGAGTCTATGAATTCATGTGAGCCCAGAGGCTCGGCGGATAGGACCGTCTTTGGACAAGTCTTTGGACAAGTCATGCGACATGTTTCGATCCCAAGTTAATTGTTGAATTTGCTCCAAAGAAATAGCATGGACATAGAACATGGTCTTCCAGATGTTGACTGCTGATGAACGCCCCCAACTGGATAGCAAAACATCATACAGCATCTGAATCTGCATATGGATGCATACGGACCGTTATTTTAATGATGCATTTCTTCGTCAACCGTCAACATGACGGTCTGGTTTGCCCGAATTGGGTGAATACCTACCGTTTCACGGGAACCAAGAGGTTTGATTTCTTCCCCAGTTTCGAAACCAGAAAATCCCAGTAAGGAATACCTACCGCTTCATCGACACTGCAGGGATCACGACCCTTGGACGAAAAGCGATCGCTCGTCTCGCTTGCTGCAAGCGGGTGATCGGAGGGATGTGATGCAAAGGGTCGCACCTCGGGTCGAGCTGCCACCTAATAGCTTCTAGCTACTAGTATTATCATTATTATCTTATTCTTCCCAGTAGCGATGGCCTCCAACCTTGCGATGGCCTCCACCTAATTGCGTCCTTGCTACGGGGTCGCTGGGCCAAGGTCAGAAGCAAACAAGTGAGAAGCCTACCTGGACGCACCCGATCTGTGGAGCAAGAATTGGATGTCTAGCAGTCATGCGCGGGAGCAAACGTATTGTAGAACCAGATAGAGTATGAGTATGAACTAACCCCCCAAAATAGTACCAGTTCCTGGTTCCTCTTGTTTTTGGGAAATTTCCCACATTCGATCTACTCCGACTCGAGATGTGTCTCGTCTTTTCGATGCCAAGGAAGCGCAACAAGATCAAGAGTGAGACCATGTGGCTCTCCATCCACCGATCGATGAAGGCCATCAAGCGAGTCCCGCCCTCAGGCCCTCAGTCGATGCAGGAGGTCTCAAAAGCAAAGACCTAATAATCCATGGTTTCTTTTTTTAATTTTGGTCTTTGCTAGATAAAGGATATGACTCCTCCAATTTTGATCATATAAAAAGAGAGGCAAATGCTTATCAAGAATGGTGGTGATGATATTGTTTATATTTATTTTCATGCTATATATATATATATATGTTCAAGGCTATTTCTTAAGGATAGGACGAGCATAAGCTGGTAGTATCTGGTAGTCATATATTTTTCTTACTGTAGGATCTCTTTCTAGCAGCTGTATCTTAGGGATCAGAGGTCACAGGTGGTGGTTTCCAACTGTGTGGAATCTGAAGACCTGGGCTGCCTGGGCTCTGTTCATGTTCACCAAGGAGAGCAGAGCAAAATAGGGAGATCCTGGCGGACCCAGGAATGAACAAGGGAGTTTAACCATATTCAGGTGGTTTTGTTCTTGATATGTCTTTAATGGTGTAGCACCTTTACTTGGAACCTGCTCTAAATGACTATAGAATTACCTGAATTACCTCTTTGTCCCCAGTTCGGTGTGTTGAATCATGGGAGGCTCGAGCTCAGTTCACGTTCTGAATTTTCACCCCGTAGACCTCTTCAGATCCCCCCGCAAACTTCGTTCGTGTCATGAACATCCGTTGTTCAGCTTGACAGCCCAGCTCTTCAGCCACCTCCCCAGCCACTGGTGGCCCCAACCGCCTCGAAAAAACCGAGCTCTGCGGAGCACTGAGGCTGACGTGGCGCTGATCGTGTGTCCCGGCCGTGTGGGCATGGGTTTGGTCCAGCGGACCGGCGATCTATGCATCATTCGACAGAGCGGTGACCCATTTCTCCAAGAAACAGGGTTTCGTGGACCGTCTCCTGTTTGTGGATTTCATGGTCTTTCCACTTCCATTGTTGGAGGGAGAGTACTCTTCCAAAATTGATCCCTACTTTTTTCCAAACAGAGATCCGCACGAAGGAAAGGGTTGAGCTCCAACATTCACTGCCCTAAGTGCACAAAGCAGAGCTTGGATCTGCTTCTTCTCCCACGCTTCATATACCTTTTTCAGAAAGGAACGTATGTTCTGACCCACCCGTTGCTTCGTTGATGATGTTCTCCAACCACCCCAAATGAAAAGCCACCCCGCTACTACTGCTGCCTTTCATTTGATGTTCTGGCTGCAGACCATGGCACCCTACAAGCGAGTGTTCATGACAGGTCTACGCTGTCAGGGGCTTCAATACCGTCCTTTTTTTCTCAGCTTGGTGGTTCCAACCTCCTGATTCCACAAGTATCCACAAGTTGTTTTTGCCTGGAATCCTTTCTCTCAAGTACCCAGCGCCAACTTGAGATCCATTCTCCTGTTGTCATCTGGCTGCGGGTCAAAACCCTGCAACCCTGGTTGACCAAAGAGAATGAACAGAATAGAAAACGAGTCAGAGGCAACCAGTCTTTGTTTCGCTTTGGCTTTGACCCACTGCAATTTTGGTCCATCAACCGTGACCGGAGTTTCCTCTTCCGCGATCACAACCACCACGTTTTCATGTGATGCCGTGGGTTCAGTTCATCGATCCGCTGGAACAGCATTCGGCCACATGGCCGAAAGGAAGTCTGATTGAAAGGGAGGGCTCGTGGCATCCATCGACCCGCAAACTCGCATTTGGACCTTCCTTTAGCGTCACAAAGTCGCAAGCCAAAGCCATTTGGCGCAGGGATTTGGCGCATGCAAAACAGCCACAGGAACTGACATGTTCCGGGGTGAATGTAGGCATGTATATATTCCTATCGTCAGCACCAAACAGAACACAAGAAAAATAATCGTCAGCATAACAGAAAACACTATTTCTATTCCCACATACACCGGTGAAAACTAACATGTTCGCCAAAAACAAAAACAAATTGGCATATGTTAGTCTAGTTTCCGAGCGGACACCGTTGAGACTAACCTAGACCAAATTCAGATGTGCCATGGTGAGCCCTACGGGTACTTGGCATGGTCCATGTTAGCCTCCACCGGGCTATGTTGACCTCTACCGGCGCGGTCTATGTTAGCCTGCGTTCAGTTTATAGTCAGATTTGCAGTTGGTCCATGTTAGTGTCAAAACCGATCATAGACTGAGAGTAGGAACGGTCCATGTTAGCCACACGCCTGACTCAGGTTTGTGGAAAGTTTGTGTCAGTGTGGACCAGGGAC